CAGCGCAAAATGTATTTGAAATAGTAATTGAAGAAAGAAGGCATAGAGGTAGACCGTCTCTCCGGTGGAGTGATCAAGTTGAGAAAGCACTAACCGAACTTGATGTGCAAGACTGGAAAATGCAGAGGATCCTGGAGAGACATGCTGTGTCAGGCCGAAACTTGGTAACGAGTTGTTATGACCAAATAATAGAAAAAGGAACAAAATATTTTATTCTTTTCGATTATTAAGAAGAATTAGAAATTATGGCTACAAAAAAATATTCAAGATTAGTCTCGTACTATACTAACATCCATTTTGCATGAAAAATTGACATTAAATTTCATAAAAAGTTCTACATTATGCAAATTTTATAGAATCTTATGACAATTTTTCTGACATGGTGGATGTTAGTACTAAACAATACTACAAGATTTCTTAAAACCCCAGATTTCACAAAAGGAACATCGGATGTCGAAAATTAACAAAACGAACAATTTGCATACGAAAATAATTTGTATTGTACTAATTATTCATTTTATCGACCTCATGATCTTTAAAAGCGGCACTTGGTTATCATTGACGGACAGTTTTTGCACATTGATCTTGGCGCTTCTAGAATAGAAATTGCCAAAAAGAAGGCTATTAACCCATGCCACACTTGAGGTTTTTTTGAGGATTAATTTTAGTGGATTAAGTTTCTATACCTGTTAACATTTTTTAATACATGTTGTATTCTGCAGATTGATAATTCGTATATATAAACTCTACTTGGTTGTGTGTGAGTAAAAAAGAAAAAAAAGATTTTGACAAGTAATTTAATATTTCCTTTTAATGTTTACAACAGCAAATAACATACACAGTTTTTATTTTTACACTCCACTGTTTCTTTAAGGTATTAAAAATAAAATGCCCTTGTAAACGTAGAATAGAAAATATCAAAAAATGACTAAAGAAAAGTACATATATTTTTTCAAATAGTATCTCAACAGCATCAAAGCATGAGTAAGATCTCAATTCAGTATATAAAATAAACTGTACGAAAACTGTTATAAAAACTAAGATTGATCTTGAAATTAACTCAATTGTGACAATACACTTTTATTGTGTTTCTAAAACAAAAATCTCTCTTAATGAAATAAAAACTGCATATATAAATTAATTAATGTAATTATATGTACATATAACAAAACAATTTAAATGGGCATTTTAAACTAAACCATAAACTATGAAATATTTTGATTTTTGAACAGAACAATTTAAAAGATGGTTTTAAGCTACCTTCTTTAACTCTCTTCTTTATCTTCTTTAATTACGGAAGCTAATAAAATCATCTCACAACAATGACATCAAGTGACAAAAGTATCTTTAACAAATTTTAAATAAACAGATTATTACAGAACTCAAAAGCCTTATTTCGACAGACATATTGTGAACTATAAAATGTATTGTGCTTAGAGGACTGACTGCATCCACATTCAACAAACGTCATCTATTTGTTCGCAAAAAATACTAATTAAACATTTCATTTCTATAACTAAAATGGAAATAAAAAAAATAACTTGTAAACCTGTAATTCTAATCTCAAAAGGTTTTATTTCTTATTAGTTTTTTGCACGTACGTTAGTGATACACTAAATAAAAATGAAAAAGGGAAATCCCCTTATTTGTTATTTTTACTTCTGCAACTGTTGAAAAATTAATAACTCAATGGGGTAAAAAACAAGTGTATTGTTGCGCCCCAAGCACTTGACTAAGCCTTACGTATTTTTATTAATAAAATTAAGGTAAAAAACATCGCAAATTACTTTGTGAAAAATAAAGATTTACATAATGCATTGTATAAAAAAAATTATGTAAAAAGTAAAATATTAAAATTAATTTTGCACTTTTCTGATTTTTCGCAGAAAAAAGAAACGTCTAGAACTAGAACATTTCCGAAATTAGAGCTATTCAAAAAACAAATTGGATCATTGGATCTTATTTGTAAACGTCTAATTGTAAAAAAAATTTTGGAAGTTAGAGACGCATTGGAGAGTTTTTGTTTTTAATTTATTTATTTGTAAGTCATGTTCCATTAATGTTTACATCTATAGCATGTAATTATTAGAATCATTTTTACTCCATACATTAACACTAATAAGACAAAGATACTCCAAACATCATTAAAGTTTTATTGATGGATTTTTAAACTTACACATTTATAACAAAGGTATTAAAAATTTTTAGATTGATTATTTAAACAATGTGTCTCAACAAGTTATTCGTCAGATGACGTCTATGTGTTGGCAGATTACATGTATCTTGAACTTTAACTTTGAACTTTATCGATATCTCAAAATATAGACTATATTGACATATAACATAGTTAAAAAAAAGTTGCTTAAAATAGCTGTATTTACTATCATTTGTCCGGGAATGATAGTGGGTGCCCGGGAAATAAGAAGGTGCTAATATCGGGTTTTAAAATTCTTATTCAATATTTTTCATTTTATAAAATTTATAATTTTTTTTTATTTAACGTTTATTTGGAAATTTATTTCATAAGAAACTGCAATTTTACTGTTCATTGCAAAGTTCCTTATCTTATCATTTAGTATAACCAAAATTTTACATAAAATAAGTATATACAACTATTTAGATAATCTCTAATGTAAAAATTGTTTGTATTAGTTGTTGCCAGATGACCTCATCTAGTTGTTGTTTATATAACAAATTCAAAACATTTACAACTTTAAAGTCCGATAACTGGAAATTTACACTATATTGATATATAGCTTAGTAAAAAAAATAAATGTAATTTTCAGATTGTTTACATATAGCGTTTTCGATTGGTAAATCTGAATTCAATCTAGATTTACTCTCAATTTGCCAAATTTTGTTGCCCAATCATACATTTTTAGAATAATCTAAAATTTTTGTAGTTGTGTTAGTAGATCATTATATTTATCATTAAAACATATATCGAATCAAATCATAATTTATTTGCCGTTGTATAAAACAGTTGCTAATTTCAGGGTAATCTTCCTACTCTAGCAAAACATCTAGAGTGTTATAAATTAATTTCGAGTGTTATAATGATTTACTAATTGAAAATTAAAATTGCACAAAAAGTGAATCTTGAAATGTTACCCCAGATTGAAATATTACCTCCAGATGTTGCCCAAGATAAACAACCAGTTGCAACAGTTTACCATCAGCTGGCACTTCTACTTATTAGTGGTTTTCAAGCGAACATTTTTAACTTTAAAGCCTGATATATAACTAATTAAAAAGAAGTTCTTTAAAACGTTAATCATCAGTGTAAGAATTTATTATATTACAGTTGTTGTCAAAGGGCCCTAAAAAAGCCCTATTTAATTTTTGTCTGTATAATATATGTAAAAACTACACAACTTTAAAGTTCGATATCTCGGCAGCTATGTACACCCTTAGCGTAGAAGTACTTAGTACTTAGAATGAGAGCTGCAATAAAAAAGTACTAGGTACTTAGAATGGGAAGCTATACAAAAATTTCAGTCAAACTTCCGTAACACGATGAAGTCGCTTGCAAAGAAGTCGACTTATGGAGACTTCGAGTTAAAGAATTTTTTTGTAATTCTATGTAAATTGTTCTCGATATCCTGTTGAACTCTATTTAGTTCAAGTTATAGAAAATTTGAGTTATATGCCTGGTTTTACTATGTCGTTTTTAATGTCAAATATTGTCAGTATAATGAAAACGGATAGTCATATGATGTCATATTCGCATTCTTGTCATGTAATGAAAACGCATTTGAGACACCAGTTAATTATAATTGCCATTTAAAATGACATAATGAAAACAAGGCAATAGTAGTTCGAGTTATGGAACTTTAACTGTAGTACACATGTACGCCTAAAACTATCTAATTTCAATATAGCACAATACATCTCTTAGGTAGTGGTGTACAATTGTCATTTGCTTATAATGTCATATCAATAATTCAATATCACACCCCACTCTCTCTTCAACTCATATTTCATCCATATAACCAAAACAACAAAAGAAATACTACAACTATGGACCCATGGACATTACAGAAAAATTGTTTGAATCTACTAAAGTCAAGCAATAATTAACCTGTAGTTAACCATCAAGTAATATGTAAATTTCCTTACAATTCTTATTTTAATTTGCCAAATATTGCACAATAATTTTTGCAGTGCATGTATGGACTTGTTGTTTTTGTTACATTGCGTGTGTGTATGGGTGTGTGGATGTGTGTGATTGTACTTTCTTTTTATAGCTTTAGCGTTTGCAAACTAAATTATGACGAAACGTGTTCAAAAAAAAAAAAATCTCTTAAATAAAATTTAATTTCTAAATAAAAAAAGTAGGTGTGTCTGATCTTCCGAGCAAACATTAAAAAGAAAACAACAATAAAAATTGATAGGGCAGAACCCACATTAAACACAACAACCATAACAGCAGCAATAACAATAACAACAATAACAACAACAACAAAGCCAAATACTGAACAGATTCATGATTAGAAGAGACAGTGAAAATTCGAGAAAACTGCAGCCATACGGGCACACGTGGTTGTGTGCTTTCGCGTTGTTGCATGTGGTTTTGCTTGCAATCAAGAAAAAAAGTTCATGTAAATTGTGAAGCAAAATTTTCATTGTCAATTTTGAGGTTAATTCAGAAATTGGAAAGCAAATAAGAAAGAATTTGCAATAAAAGAAAATACTTTTTTGAATTTCGTCAGAAAACTATAGAATCGAAAATGTTAATCAAATTTATTATGTTGTAAAAAATTCTTATTAGATTTTTTTTTTTTTTATTTCATACAATTTGTAATATTTTTCTTATTTAACTTTTACTTGAGAATTTATTTCATTAGAAACTGCAATTTTATCGGTCATTGCAAAATTCACTATCTTATCGTTTAATATTGACAAGATTAATACTTTCTAAGTTAAAACAAATTTTATTTTTATTTTATTATTGAAAATTATGGAATAAAATGTATAAATTTGGATTATATTTAACTTACCCAGCTGTGAAAGCATCACTACTTGAGAGCCACTTGACTGTATCATCTCTTGATCACTTATAATGCGTATTGCCACATTACGCTTGTAAGCACGTTTGAAAGCACTTGCAAGATCATGCGAAGTGAAGGTGTACATGGCTAAATCGATGGAATATTTTGCATTATCAATGTACTCAATTAAACGATTGACGTTATGCTTGACACAATAGTGGTTGGTGCAGTTATCGTGCTTCCCACTTCTCATGTCCTCCTTAATACAAAAGAAGAAAGAAAAAAAAAACCAAAATATTCAGGAAACTTCATATAGTAAATCTTTTGTTGTTATAAATTACCCTATAGTTGTCTTGTCCATAATGCCCATTCAAACAAGCTTGGGTTAACTCACTGGTCCATATGACCTCACAAATCTCTTCGCCATTAAACTGTTTACGTACAAACTTAAAAATATAGTATGCAGCCTCCGTCGAAACTGCTACTAGAGCACCATAAGCGACATAACGCAGCACGCGATTTTCCAAATAGTTCGCGAGGGGCATAACTTCGTAGTTTTTGTTTTAAGTTAAAAGAAAAATGCACTTTTATTTAATCACACTTTAACACCAAAAAATATATTAACACGCTTTAATGGGGTTGCTCTGCTTTAATTGGAAATGGCTGCGCTATGCAGAATTACTAAATAGATATATTAATTTCATCCGATATTCACACCGATTTAATTTCTCAACTTTTGCGTTAAACGCAGCGCAAGTGAATTTGCAAATTGCACGTGCGCTCTCTCACTTCGTTTCTTTCCGCTTAAAACAGCTGTACGAATATAAAAACAAACGTCAAACAGAGAGTATAACAGAATTAAAAGCTATTTAATAAAAATCCCATGGTGGGGATATTTTCATTAGCAGTAGTACAGTTGTATTCCATAGTATCAATTGTGCGGAAATACTTTTATGTAAAGTGAATATAAAAAATTGCAATAATATAAATAATAAACTATAATGTAAAATATATATTAAATTTTATTTTTTAGCGAATTGGGATAAAAGAAAACATTATGAATGCTAACAAAATTTAAACAATAATATAATTAATATGTAAAACAAGACCACTGATAATAGCAATACTCGAAATAGCTTTTATTGCAAGTCACTGCTGTTCGAAAACCTCTTTATATAAAACAACTAAATATTTATAATAGTTGACAGGAATTTCCAAAAGCTGTATCTTACAAGCTTGCCTTAAATATAAAGCAGGATAAGTCATTTGGTTGTTATATCCTGAGATATTAGAAAGAAGTAAAAAATTAGAACTTGAAATTTTAACAAAAAAAAATTGTCCAAGTTGGACTTGTTCGATTGATGTTCGACGCGATATTCGTTTGCCATACATTTGATAAGTTCAACGTTCTAATTGCACAAAGTTTACACGTAGTAATTACTACTTAAGAACATCCTCCCTTTCTTTCTGCTTCCCCAAATTGTTTTCAATTTTGACTTGGATATATTTGTTGTCTAAATGTTCAGCTTTCTGTATTTTAATGTTTGCCGTTCTCTTGATTACTTGCATGGAGTTTCAGCAGTTGGTCTTTATGGTTTAATGTTCATTCTGCGTTCCTAATAGATAGTTTGAGTTGGTTCAAGTCTCACACTGTGGATTTCGATGTTCCGCTCACCGGAAAAAAAAAATTCTATGCCTAATAACTGAAGTCCAACAATTATATACGGTCTTATAAAATCGATAGATACCACAGATTATAAGTATTTAATAAAAAATGAAATAGCTGTATAGGCAGTCAAGAAAAATTTAATTAAGAATGAACTTTTGTTATTGTAATTTACTATCATTAAAAAAATCTATTTAATATATTATATTAGTAATTTAGTTGTTACTTTTTTTTTATTTTATATATTAAGTATTAGTAATAATAAATATACTTTCATTTCATATGTTAAGATAATAAAAATTCGTATTTATTTTAAAAAACTATTGGTTATAAAACCGCTAAGACATTACTAGAGATATTTGCATAAAATTAGTAAAATATATAATATAAATTTCATAAATTTAGTTAAACATTGATTCTATTTTTATTATTGATTTTCTATTTAGTTATATATATATATAAACAAAATTTTGAATGTTTTAAGTGTTTTTTTTAAGAAATCACTAAGATTAAAATAAGCATTATTTTCTTTATATAGCGGGAAGGCAAATTATATATCTTAAAGACTAAAATATATGTACTATTTATTTTTATATATACTTAAGTACATTTAAAGTCATATTAACATGTTAAATTAAATATTTTTGAAAATCTTGACAATTTAATTTAATTCATATGAAAAATATATTAATTTGAGATTTTTTAAATACTTCCTCAATGGCTTTGCTTACAGTTCAGCTTTTGTTTGCTCACATTTTACATATAAAACATATGACACATTTTTTTAATTTTGCTAATTTCCTTTGTGGGAATTACATTTTTAAGGGTTACATTAGATATTTTTCGCCTTAAATGAGCTGATTTATTGATAATGAGTTCATTTATATGCAAGCACTTATATGGTAAATTATCCTCATTAGTGGTTATTATAAATACAACGGCCTGAATGAGACAGTGTGACTATACTATTATAGCCGTGTACCAGTTTGAGTAAATTCAAGTGAAGCAAATTCAAATTTCCTAGGGGTTTTTTTGCACTACACTTATGTAAATATTTATTTATTAATTGCATTTATTTATTATTTTTGCTTAAATGTTTTCAAATTTATTTATTAAAAATCTTACACAATTTTCACAATGGAAACACCTAATTTTTATCTAATTTATCGTACTCGAAATTCTGGTAAATATCAACATTCGCTGTTATACCGACATAATTTACCATTTTCCTTAATTTACCATCAATTTACTTGAACTCGCACACGGTCTATATATACATAATTTCCAAAACTTACTTATTCCCTTCTATATTGTGGATTTATTGAATTAAACGTATATTGAAAGGAATCATATTAATATTATTAATTGAAATAAAATTTTAAAAATATCACTATTTTATATCCCGACCACAATATTACATATATATCTTCATAGCAGATACAAAAACAAAAAATATACTGCACAAGCAAATGCTACTAAACGTATAACAATAAATGCAACCCTAAATATTATTCCCTTTGCGTGATAATTCACTGTCAGGGTCACTTCGAATGGAAACAAAGTAAAATAGAAGATATGGTAATTAACATATGACGCATGATAGTTTGTTCAAAAAATAATGATATCATAGAAAAACTAGAGCTTTGACTAAAGAGAAATTTCATAACAAAATTAGTTCCAATTCTGTTTTCGAAGTATTAAAACGTGCGAGAAGGTGCTTAAGTAAGTGCAAATTTGTTACTACTAATTTTTGTGTTGCTTATAAAAAGGCATTTCAAGCATAGGCATTTGAAAAATGTTGCAATTTTGAACATTTGAAAAATATAAATAAGGTGCAACACTGAAATGTGGCTTGACTCACCTTCATACAATAATAAATGCCAAGTATTTTAATTTATTATTCCATTCAAAAATTGGCAGAGTGATTTGTGGGATGTTTTTAGCATTTTATATGTGTATAAAAAAATAATATATAGTATATATTTTTTATTTAAAAATACGAGAAAAGTGCGTGTATATTTGATATCATTCTGTGTGTATATATGTATATACTTTTATTTTTGGTTGCAGAGGTCATTAGGAAACAACTGCAGTACATTAAGTGCGCAATAAACGTCACTTCTCAACTTCTGGACGGTGCGTCACCAGAGGAAAAGTAGACTATAAGTAGACTAGACTCCCTTCTGTTAACCGGCGACATACACAAAACTAGCTGAAAATATCGATTTCACGTGATTATCTAAACATATTGTAAGTAAATGGAATTAATTTTACATTAGCTACTAAGAAAAGGTCTAAAGAAATCATGTAAAATAATCTGCCGTCACATCCACAGCTCATCCACAGATACGAACAAATTTTATTTAACTTTATGCTAATTTGTTTTTAATAATTTTAACGTCACGCAAAAATGAGGTTTGCCCATATACTATATACCAATTAAGTTGCCCATTTCTAATTCTTACGATTCGTAACCCCTCCTCCGACGTCCCTAAACAGAATATGTTGGCTGTTGGCGCAAATGAAGTAGAAATTCAAGTATTTCAGTTCTGTGGTTAGCACAATAAACACCATTTTAGTAACTAATTCTATTTTTTTTATTTATTATTTTGCAAATTTCTAAACAAAATAAATCTTTACAGAATATAATTTTATTGTATATTTTTATTATTTTTTCTTTTTTGGTTTCACATATAAACTCGTGCTTAATTATATTGAAATAAATATATATATCTATATACATATGTATATATTTACTTTAGCAGCTTTGGGGCAGTTTATTTAGTAGTAGCATTAAAGTGTATTATTCGCACTTCTCATCGATCATTAAAAATATTATTTTGTTTGTTTTAGTTTTATTTGTTGTTATCAACAAAATTGAAACTACCGAGTGCGCAAATGAAGAACATAAACAATATTTATAAACACTGTTATCATAAGAATAAACAGTTAATATTATTTATTTAAGTTTTTTTTTTATCAACTGCAATAATGGAAGAAATGTATCAGCACATAAATGTATTTTTGGTGTTACTTCCTGTGACAAAATTATTTTTGCATAGACTTCTTTGTTAAATAATTGTACGACTCAAATAGTTGATAAAAGAAATTAACAAAATTATGAAATAATTTTATAGGATATGAATATGTATTACAATTAAAAAGAAAAATTCAAATTAGGGTTATAATTTTTTATCTCCAACACTATCTACTTTTCTATATAAAGGTAACTATATGAATATATTCATAACAAGCATAAGGGTCTTTAAACATTAACAATATAATGTATAATAATTCAATTAAGAAAGGCAACTTATTCAACTCTACAACGAGCGAGTCCACTCTGAAAAGATGACTCTCTAGTCATCTTTTCAAGCGACCAATTGCCGCTCTCTCTCTCTCTCTTGCCGACAGGGATTCAAAAAGCAAACCTCCTCTCAGGGTATCAACAAAAACACTATTATAAATATTTTAAATGAGGAAGTCATGCGTTATTTATACGCTGATCTTCAAGTCTGCTTATGCATGACGTTAATCCATTGTATCATAACGGATCATTATTTGAGTTTAAGTCGGTCTTAGACACAAGACCGAAGCACCAACCTAAGTACAAATACATTACATACATAGTCGCCACAATGCCAACATATTTAGTATAGTCCATACTCTAAAATGCATACATCAAACTCTTTCATATATGCATAAATACCTATTGCAATAGAGCCAACATCAGGGATATCGAATACAAACATGGAGTAACAACTCACCACACAGATGTAATTTCCTCTTCGAGATCTCGGCTGCATGACAATAAATTTCTCAACAGCTCTCTGCTTAATATCTTCCGGGAAGAGTGAAGATATTAAGCTATAAACTGTCTTCAGGCTTAACAGTTATTTACCACACAATTCACAATGTCTGCCCTAACTTCAGCTCTACTCCCCATCATATTGCTTATCTGTTTTCATCTCATTGAAGTGACTAGCATTCTCTGACTTCATCTAGGGTAGCTTTAATTAAAATCCCATTCATTCTTAAGCCACTCGTGCTTTTAAACAATCCCCTCAGCCTTTGCACCTCTTTTACCCAATCATAATCGAACACTTGTCTTCGCATTTGTAATTTATTTCATGTTATGTGCCATATAAATCTCTACGGACTATTACAATAACAGCAATATTACTATATAATGATTTATTAAAATAAATGAACATATAATATTATGCTCTCTTAATATCAAATTATACATAAATCAATTATTCTATGTTCTCTAGAATATGTTCTATGTTATTATATGTTCTCCTATTAAACATGTTCAATGTAAAATTCAAATACAACCCTGTGTTTTAATTATGCACTAAAACTAGTACAATGCATTTTAGTAAATAACGACAGTGACGCATCAATAAATATATTCTAAAACCGGATTCAATTTTTTTTATAGTAGGTCATTTATTGTTAAGTAATCTTTATAAATAAATGAATAAATTAATATGATATTACTGCAATGACAACTATATTACAGTTACCGAAATTCAAATAACTATATGTAACATTTACTACAATAAATATAATATTGTCGTATGTCTTTTCTTTTTACTAAAGCAGCAATTCTGTGTTCCTTTACTCGGCGATCTTCCATTATTAGATGATTTATTTCACATACACTATAACCAAAGTTAACATCTTTGGGTGTCCTGACCTTTCAGATTTCTCGGTTTTTACAATGATACACGACTTACAATGATATAGACTTAATTTTTAAAATATTGCCAGATTATTAGAAATATAATACAAACAAATTTACAAATTATTTAGTGCAGACGTCTTATCAAACAGCCCTCGTATATTGTCTGTTTAAAATTGTCCCTAGACATATTTTAATGCTTTTGAAAAATTCATGGAAAATGGAGAAATGAAATAATTTTCGATTCACAAAAATTCTCAAAAAATTTTTCATTTAACATGAGATAGCAATAAAAGAAGGTTTGGTAGTATAAATTAAATTCTCATAAAGTGCTAATGAACTTTTATTGACACGCAAATGATTCACTTACATTTTTACACCCACGTGTTGCCCACTTTCAGTAAAAAAATACTAAAAATTATAAACTGAAAAATATTATAGGCTTTTATTACAGTTGCTGTGAAGAACGTACGCCTACTACGGATAATCTATTATATCTAAGTGTAGTGCTTAAGTACAAATGAAAGTATGCAATAATATTAGTGGAAACAAGTGCAAGAAAGAATAAGTAGCACAAAAGAAAGTAATACCATATTTAATTAATGATATTGGTATTAACAGGTTTTTTTTAATTCTGGAGAATCGTAATAGTCCAACATCAAATATTGTTGTTATTAGTAGTAAATAATAGTAAAGTATGTAGATAAAGTAACGGCAGGTGTAGAGAAAAACCCATTCAGCAATAGGTTGTTGAGGAAAGTTTAGTAATACACAAATAATTTTTTTTATAACTTAATTCTTTTATTATGTTGAAGCTGTTTTGAGTTAGTGCACATATATTAAGCACTTATACTCTTTTTTAACTCGAGGTTTCTTCAAAACAACTCTCTACACCTTGACTAGATTATTGTTTATCACTTCATCAGACTAAGCAATAATTGATTTGCATACCTCAACGAGGAGCATGTAACCATTTTGAGATTTGATAAGGCGGTGTTGGTAAGTCTGTGACTGTTCGCAAACAATTTCAGGGCTCTATCCTTTATGTACTTTTTGATGGGATCAATCTTGATGTCCCTGAGGATGTCATTATTCCTAATGTACTATGGAACTTTTATATAGCTATTCATTTTTTTTTGTAATAATGCCTTGAAATAGGTTAGAACTCTTTTGAATCAAGTTTCAATGCAAAAATTCTTCGGTCCTTAGCTATACTAGTTAGATATGTCATTAATAAAGTAGTAGTCCTAGTCTTATTAGGAGTCACGTATACAATTGCTAGGGAATTCTACAATTCTAATAGAAGTGCCATTGTCCATTATTGTTCCAGATTGTCTATCTGTTTAGAAGAAAATGTTTACAATCATCGTTCATTTAAAAATTGGATAATTTAGTTTGGACAATAGGTTTGCATCTTCTTCTATTGAATTTTCTATTATTGACTGGTGTTCTGTCTAATCGAATGCCTATTCTATGTTAATTAGTATGTTGTTCCAGCTTGATAATGCTGTAGATTACAGGTATCTTTTTACTTTATTGTCTCTATAGAAATTAAAGTTTGAATAGACTTGATAACAGATATATATGTATTACCTATATATTATATTATATTATATTATATTATATTATATTATATTATATTATATTATATTATATTATATTATAATATTATTATAATAATATAATGTTATCTATTATTAAAATATTATATATTATATTATATATTATTATAATATTATATATTATATTATATATTATTATAATATTATATATTATATTATATATTATTATAATATTATATATTATATTATATATTATTATAATATTATATATTATATTATATATTATTATAATATTATATATTATATTATATATTATTATAATATTATATATTATATTATATATTATTATAATATTATATATTATATTATATATTATTATAATATTATATATTATATTATATATTATTATAATATTATATATTATATTATATATTATTATAATATTATATATTATATTATATATATTATATTATATTATATTATATTATATTATATTATATTATATATTATATTATATTATATATTATATTATATATTGTGATCCACACTAACTCGCATTTCATTAAGCAAAGAAGAAAAAGAATATAATATATATCGTACATATGGATAATACTCCAAATGTTTAGGTTATTTTCTTTGGATCATAAATTTAGAGTTTCTCTCATATAATGCCTTATATTAAATTATCTAAAATATCTTTGTTAACTTTCTATATAAAATATAGACAAATGTGCACAATTGTTCGATTGAAAGAATACTTAATAAAACGCATAATCTTTTGCGCTTTTAGATTTACTTTATAATAAAATTTTTTTATTATTTATTTTTTTAAAATACAATAAAAATTTTGTTTCTGAAACAATTATGTATGTATGTGCAGTTGTAGAACATCCCATGTTAATATATTAGCACCATAACAAATGTGGCCTTCCGCGTAAAAATGTTTCCCAACTATATCGCTTGACACTTTTATTATGAAATACTAAAATAATTTTAGTTTT